TATACTTTCAATACTAAAGATCTATAATCAAATGCATTGTAAACAAGTACGAATTTGTAATTTAAATCAAGTATACAATAATATAAACAATTTTAATAGTTACCACTTAGTTATGTATTTCCCCCACAATTTTTTTTTTTTAATGATTAATTCGATTTAATTAATTTATATAGAGTATTAATTATCTTTAGAATTTAAAACAGAATACCTCAGACAATATTTTTGTTTAATTTTCGATTACGAAACGCCAATGTTTCCAGAAAACCGAAAAAATCGAATTCGGTACACTCCTTCAATCTCATACGCATTATTTAACTATGCGAATGAGATGCGCGTTCTCAAAAAAATCACTCTGTATATTATGTAACATTTAGATTATTGATTGCGTATGTAGCCACCAGTCGCGGCGGGCCCGTGTTATATGCGAGGGGTTTCGGCGGTTAAATTCTCTCTCGTGCAATTAAGTATCGTTTTACAAAGACAGTGGCGAGGTACAGACGATTTTCGCCCATTGTCCCGAGTATAATGCGGTAATCGCGACAAGTTCATTAATCCCGTACGGATTCCCGACAAATAATTGAAGCCATTGAAACCAATGGTTACAGCGAACCCACACGTTTTAAATAATCTGGCGTGGGTCGTATGCCCGCTATTCGGACGGTCCCGCGCATTTGTATGAGACGATATTTATATTGCGGAGATACGGCACGTTCGATCCGTTGGCAAAACAACATTGTACACGTAAAAACGACGCGACCCGGCCGCACGAAACTCAAATAACCGGCATTGTGTGGGCGGCGGATCAAGGACAAGATTACGGGGGATTTCTGTTTCTCGTTTACTGTAGCGCACAAATGTCCACCTTCTGGCATTCGCTGCGAAATTTTGATTTGTTTTTTCTTGGTGAATAAGAAAGGGACGGCCTTCCTCTATGTCACACCCCCACCCCCCTTGAATCCGTCACTGCTGCAAGTGTGTACGGTTATTTGCATTTGGTTTTGTTTCTCGCTAGCAATATTCGTGACAATTTTCGTTTTTCACAGTGCAAATAATTATTGTGTTAACATTCTTGATTTTTATTTTTTGCGAAAATAATTTGGTATTTCTACAACACACACTCTAGTATACAGCAGCAGTGCAGCACACATTTAAACCTTTAAAACCGAAAACTCTTTGGGTAAGGTCGACAGACAATAAATATTCTCTTCGTCCCGATAGGTAAATGCTTGATAACGTATTGTTATTAGTTATAACAAGTTGTGTTTCTGAGTGGTTAACCATGTGTCTATTCGCGTTTTGTTTAATATTTGTAAAATATACAAAAATGCCTAAAGTTAAATATCTTTATATTCACAATTAAAAATTATGTGTTTAAATTCGGGTGTAGATATCAGGTGTGGAAGAGCTTAAAGTTTTAATGTTACACAACATTTACCTACAGGTAAACACCCGAAATTAGTGGACCAAAGAGAAAAAACATAAATATACAAAAAACCCTTCAGCATTTTCAACTGAAACCAAAAAATCGTGCTTCAAGAAAAATGTGTGTTATCAACGTTAAATAAATTTAATAATGAATCTTTTAAATAATTTTTAATAGAATATACCGAAAAAATAATTCGATCCTTGACCATATTTCAGAAAGACTACGTAGATGAAATTTACGGTGAAACATTAATTACAATTTTAAATGTTATTATTGACAAAAACTGTTGAAACATTATTTTTAAGAAGTATCTGAAAATCCGTAAATTTAAATAATTTAATACTTATTGTAACATGTAAGTTGTACTTAAAATTTAATTAAATTATATTCATTAAAATAATATTTACCTTAAGAAAAAATCGTATTTTTTATTCAAAAATTTTTATTTTTAAATATATAGTAATTTTAAAATGCATATTTTGTATATTTAAGTGCATATTTGGTAATTTTTTATTGCTACAAGTCCTCTGGCCTAGTAGTTATAAAATTACTTGATGAAAATATGTTTTACTGGCCAGTTGGTTGAACGATTTTCTATTATTATCTGGGCATGAAAAAAAAATTTCGCTTATTTCGTCATAAATAATTCCGCATATGTATTATGAATTTTTTTTAAAAAGATTATGTTTTCCGAACAAGATACAAGTTCACGTGGACGATAATCTCAGACTATTTTTTTCAAAAGAGTAACATTCTAATAAGTATGATGCATGCTTTTATATAAATTAATTTTGCGAAAAACTTTTTTCAAAAAGAAATACGTTTATATATTATTATGTTACTCGTAAATAACCACAACTCACACTGTACATAAGCACTCTTTTCTGTACACGTTTTATGCGAAAATATAATATACTTCTGTTTGATCTCTGAAAAGGTCTATTATCGATTAAAATATATCCTCTCCGACAAACTCAAAAAGTCAAAATGGTGGAATTTCAACCAAATAATAAAAGTACAATCGTTTAGTTATTTTTAATCTCGAACTGCAAATACTGTTGTGCGTTCATTATGATTGCTAAGAAAATCCACTGCCCGTTTACGTATATATTCCTCTGATAACATTTAGAAATACTATATGTACTACTTAATCAATAAAACACGATAATAAACGGAATTCTTACACCGCACAATAACATAAACCTAGTACGGTTACGATAAAAATACTTTTTTTTTTTTTTTTTTTTTAAATTTAATACTTCTGACGAGCGCCCCAATGTTTTGTAGGTGGAAAATTCGGAATGCGAGCTTAATTGTAGAATAATTCAATTCATATCCGTACGCAGCGATACGCCAGTACTAATGCGAAACCGATTCTGAGCGCGGTACGGTTAAACTCGTTCGTCCGGGAGATACCGACATGGTAATTATAATAAAATACGGTACGCATAACGCTATATTAATTGCACAACACAAAACAACGCTCTCACGGGGCCCGCGAACCCGGAGTGCGTACAATAAATTGTAGTGCACACAGAGTGCTTTTGCCGCCGCTTAATGTGCGACCTTATATTATGATTGCGTCCGTTCATATTGCAACAATAATTGCATGCGTTTATGCGCAGACCTCGTCCAATAACAGTGTATATACATTATCGGCGAATGCCGGAAACTAATTGAAATTTCGCCCGGTCGATTCCGCGGGTCGTGCCGTACCGGAGAACGGTGTCGCGCGCGCGGCTCCGACTACGCCGCCGTCGGCGTGGATGCCCGAAAGTGTTTATTTTACTGTCGGCGGAATATTCCGATGTGAGAAAATTTCGTTTAATGGCATTTTCGCGAAACGCGTACGAGGTTCAGTGTATCGCCTCCAACAAATCGCGTTACGTCGTCCCCGGGTAAACGAAATACCGAGCATTCGGTCGTCGTTTATCTCGAAAGGGATTTACGTAATCCGGAATCGTTTTATTCGAAAATTACAGAACCACGCACAATAATTGATATATTAGGTTTCCGTAATTTGTTGTCTCCTTTATTGTTAATTTTGAGGAGGCGGGTGGAAGAAACGACTATGCGTAGTTTTTGTTTTCAAATGGTGGTTCGTATTAAGTTCAAATACATTACGGTGTTAAAATTATGGATTTCCGTCAACCCGTTAAAGAGATATTCTACATTCGAGTTTTGGCTTATTTGGCAAGGTATAGTGTGCAACATCATTTGTGTGGCGACATGGCACGTAGCGTTTGAATAGTGCTCCACTATTCTAACCACACCGTAGTTGAGAGGTGGAATATCTCGTCAATGGCTTAACGGAAATAAAAAATTTCAACACCAAAATGTATTTAAATTAATAATACGTCTATTAATGGAATTTTTAATGTACATACATATATGTATATAGTGTTGTTTGAAAATCAAAAGTAAGAGTTATTTCTCACACAAAATTAATGGTGACAGAGAGTATTGTAAGTTTTAAAATTTTAGAGATGTTTGTTTCTTGAATTATTTCTTAAAAGAAAATACTAAAAGTGTTAATACTTATCGAAATAATAAGTATATCTAGAGGATTGATCATAACATTGTATATAATATTATTAGCGTGATTGAAGCAGACGTGACGGTTGTTTTTTGTTTTTTATTATACTACAATCACGCATTTGTGTGTTTTACTCACGCTGATTTCATTAAAAAAATAAGTGTGAACGTGCCAAATTGTAGGTACACGTATTTTTAATGAACTATAATAAGAAAAAAACAATTCGTTAACCTAGTGTATTAAGACCCTAAATAAAACATACACGTATGAAACCAATTTCTCTTTTTTGTTAGGTTTCTAAACATAAGTTTATACCCTCGTTGTGAAGATCCGTCAGTATATAGTTACACAGTTGTTGATTTATTTATCTAGTTATGGACAGCATTCGTAAAATATAATTATTAATAGTGAAGGGTGGGTTAGCGATTTTTTTCGGCTCGGGAATTATGAATCGAATCGTCCCGCGAAACTGAACAAATCAAAGGCGTAAGTAAAATGCAATTTCGGGAGTGATAAAACCCCTCAATTTACTATTTCAAAACGTGAGAGGCTTCCCCCCCCAATTACCAAACAAATAAATTAACATAAACATTTCGATTAATTTTAAAATAAATATATTTGCAGATATTGCAAAGAATAAATATTATAATATTGTGAAAATTCTGAGAGCTATACTGAAAATAACAGTTCCCGGCACTTGCTATTTCATTTGTAACGATGCCGAAGTTCAAACACTATCATTACATTTTAATACAAAGAAACAACCACTGTGATCTCTTAGTAGATTTGGTTTCAAAAATAAATACAGTTCACAGAAGAGAATTGTAAAGGGTTAATTTGTGTGTTTGATCCATGAATTAATTTAAATATTTAATAAACACTAGGTAAATTAACCTAAGGCTAATGAAATAATTAATGGTTATAACGTTAAATAACTGAACCCATCATTGATAATATAAGTACTCTATATACAGCTTAACATAATATTATCGTGAAACATTTTTTTTTTCTACAATAGCATAACGGTCCCTGTAGGATCTAAGCTGCCACAAACGAAACTTTCCGCCGCACTCTATCAAATGCAAGATCCACTGAAGTATTTTTGTCCACCGTTTGCATGTCCTTCTCTTCTGGATAATTCCATTTCGTTTGTAGCCAACCTAGTGGTCTAGTCTTATGTATGTTTCCTTTAATGACATTTTTAATTAAACCGGCTTTGATTTTCAACAAGTGTCCAAACTGTTCTATTCGCTTTGTCTTTAGATACGACAGCAAATTCATTTTTCCATACCGATTGTACAAGTCTTCATTTTTTTTTTTTTTTCATTAAAACTTTATTTACATTTTAAACTGTGGCTGTATATCGATTTCTATACCTAGAAAAAAAAAAAGGATTTTTTTCGTGGGTTTAATATTAATTACGAGTTTTAACTGCGTAAAGTTTAAATTAATATACAATTATTTTTAGTTAATTAAGTAGTTTATAAAATATTACCATAATGGTATTAAAGTAGATACAAAAAAAAAATTTTCGAGTAAACATTTTCATCTTTAATTTAATGCTATAATTTGTTTCCTTATGTCGGCTGCCATAACGAAAATGCTACTAATCTAATCTTCTTTGATGAGTAGGTAAAACATATTTCATGGACGATGGAGAAAAAACGTTTTACTTTTTAAATTACGGTAGGAGATATAAAGGAGATAAAAATTATTGTAATTAATGAATCCAACTTGACCTAAATGGGTTCAACCCATTAGAGTATCTTGAAGGTTTAAACAGAGTGGTACAATAACCGGGATGGACGGCGATGCCTAAAATCGGGGCCCCAAGGCTCAATGGGGGCCCAATTATAGTTGTAAACTGGGAGGTTATATTAACGCAATAGATTCAAAAAAAAATACTGCGATTATTTAATATTTTAAAAACGGTAAAATGTAAATAACGAAAAGATGGTTTAAGGTTGAGGTATAAGGTATTCTGTAGCACAAATCTTTGTATTAACAACACGTATGATTCATGCTAAATTAAGAAAAATTTATTTACTTAGTTAAACTTATTATATTTAAATATTATAATAATTAATAACCAATATTGTAATTTCACTTTAAAAACTATTAGAAAATTAATATTTATAAAAAATGTATATTCATTATAGTGAATATTTAATATACAACTATAGGTACAAGATTTGTAAAATAAAATAAATCTACTTATGTTTATTTTTACAGTGAAAAAACTATGATGTATAATGTAAATGTTTTACTTATAAGAATGATAAATTTCCACCATAATTGCAAAACAGAACAAAATTATCGAATCTTAGTAATAATTGTTAAATATTATAAAATGTACACATTATAATTTTTGTCAATAGAATACTTTCATTTTGTTATTTTTTTCAATAACGATATATTTGTTTGATCGTTTCATTATCATTTAATTTGTGTAATTTTTTTATTTTTGCTAAATAGTTATGTTTGTATTACATGAAGTGCATATAGGTGGCAACGTTTTTATTATTAGGGATCGGTGTATCCGTTACAGTATGACCAATTCTTAGTCTATTATTTGCGACTTCTTCTTTTCGGCTAAGACTGTAGAGTTCCGATATTATGTCTTAGACAATCGTCTATTATGGATACAGATCCATAATTGATAATATGAGATTCAATTAGGAAATATATATTGTTTCACTACCTACCAGCTATTATGAGCTATAATTTAAATTTTTCTATGAATAAGTTTTGCTAAAGTTCTACGTTATGTTTTAAATTTAAAATAAATATCAATATAAAACTAATAGGTTCCACGTTCAAAATCTAAATTTGATGTTGGTGGGTTTTAATGAATAAAAGACATTTTTTTGTTTTAACCGTTATTATGGCACATGCTCGAGCACTGACTATGGATTAATGTGATATATTAAATTATCACGATTTGAAATTGACAGATTATGCTAATATTACATAATTGAATAATCGTATGCAGAATTTCAGAGTACGTGCCTAAACACATAATTTGAGTATTATTATTTTATATTAACTTATAATTTTATATTACGGAATCGCTTGAAAGTGGTTCGACTAATAATAATAAGTAATATAAATGCAGATGGTAGAAAGTAGAAAAAAAAAAAAAGGATTTGATATTGGGGACGGGTATGCCACTATTGTAGCGAAGAAGTTGGGAAGGTCCGATACATACAGTAATTTAATTTATATCTGAAAGCAAGGATAATACAATTTGGAGCGAAGTTCTGTTAAAGTTACGTGTTTTGAAGGAAAGTAATATTTACGATTTTCGTTAACACTTGATATTATAACACATACGGTCAAAAAAAAAAAAAAATAAAACACTACCTTACGCACTACTTTTTTATTATTTTTTTGCCTCCTAGGTACAACATAATATTAACACCTTAGTAAATTTTCAAGCATTTCTATTTGATCAATAAATTTTATTCACAAAATACCTGATGAATAAAAATTAAATAAAATCTCTCAAAAAAAAGAAAAAAAAAAGGATAAAGTTAGATAAAATGTTTTCGAAATTTTACTACGTCTAGTTAGTAAAAACATAAGTTTTTTAAATCCATTATTGTAATACATTTTCGCGTTTTTTCTAAGTATTTTTTTTTTTTGTTTTACTAATTATTAAAAAAACTGCTGCGAAAAACAAATAACAACTCTCTTACTTATCGAATAGATTAAATACGTTACAATCTTTTTTGAAACTATATTTTTATTTAAATAAATATTTTTGGCATAAAAAAAAATTTTAAAAAATATTATAAAATTAAATCTTTAGCTATAAATTTATTAATTTTTATTTTTCGTATTTCCCAAATTATTATAAAAACCACTTGAAAAATTAAAAAAAACCTACTCAAAGCACACATTACCTAGTTGAAATTTTTTTCAGAAAAATTATAGTACATGATAAATCGGAGTAAGGTTTCTAGTAAAAAAGATGCACACAGAAACACACAAAAAAAAATATAATAGCACACAATTGAAAAACCAACTCGCTAATCTCTGAATAAATCGTACATTGGAAAAAAGTAATTGTATTGACACAACATTTTTAGGAAAAAGTAATAAAATTGACTATAGTAGTTAGGTCCTGTGTCAGTTTAACTATTTTAACCATTTGATTCCTCTTTATATTGGTTTTTGATTAATTTATATTCTCTTGTAGAAATCTAGGAATATCTAAACCAAAAAAAAAAATTCTAATTTTAAATAGTTAATAAAAAATGAACTATGCTTAAATTTGTATATTTATTCACTAAGAGCAAATTTGGTGAAACACGTGTTAAATTTTTAATCATTTCTTTTTGCCAAAAAAAAAAAATGTACTCAAATAAAAATAAAACGAAAACTACGAAAACGTTTAAAATTTGTAATATTTATGAATCAAAACACACTAAAGATAAATACCAATATAGATACTCTGGAAACGTTTTAAGTCTATGCGATTATTTTTAACCGAATTAAAAAAAAAATATATATATATATATATGGAAAATTATGAAACCGATTATTGTATATTTTCCCCTTTTTTATATCCAATTATTATGAAAAATAAAAGTACAGTGAAAAGAATTACATTGATGTATCAGACTTCCAAAATGTACCAACTAGTTACAAATTAATTTTCATTTTACTATTTTTGATAGAAAAGTTGTGCGTGGGCATAAAAAAACACACACATATCATATTATTTAAGCCAACAGAATTTAAAACATATTCCAAGAATTTCAATTCCTGTCTATATTATTATTTTAAGTATCGTTACCCACGCATTATATTCATTGATTATAAAAATATGACGGCCTTCTTTTATTTTCTGTTATTGTTGTCTTTTATATATTTACCTACAGAAAGCCACAATAACTGGGCCACGCAGTAAAATAAAATTGAGAATACATCATAGTCATTTTTTAACTCTGAGCGTGGGGAAATATGTATTATTTTTAATAAAATATAATATGTTTTCACTATTATGCGTGCTTTTAATTTATTTATTTATTTGTCTTCTGTCTGTGGTCTAATTTTTTACCAGAAATCATGATCAAACTAAAAATAAAAACAAAACGTTTTTAATTGCACATTTAGTCACAGTTGGTTTATTAGAAAGACCATTTTTTATGTTTTCCAAAAATGTTTTTCATAATAATTAAAAATTAAACGCAGATGAAAAACTAATAAATGTTAATGACATTAACGATTTAATTTTTCGAAATTGTCTTAAACTTTTGTTTTATACCAATGTTCTTTCTTTTTATAATTTGTTTTGATTCATGTTTGAATTTCAAGATAAACTGGTTTTTAATAGCCGGCTATGTCAATATGTAATAATGAACTCTTAGCTATTAATTTCAGTTAACAATTTAATTAATGAACTAACATGTTAAATGTTAAATATCGATTTATAAATTTACTAAAACAAAAATATTTGAATTAGTTTCGTGTAGTATTGTTTTTTTCATAGTGATTCTGCTTTAAATTTATATTATTTTTTGTTTCGCAATAGAATTAATTGTTGTTTCGATTCAGTGAATTTATACCGAAAACATCAAATTATATTTATTTTAAATCATCAGAACTTTACGCGCGCATTTTCGAGTAAAACAAACCAGATCAATATTTATTCTGCGAATGCACCTATTTTAATGTTGTATAATATTTAATATATAGCGTATTGGATTTTTAAAAATTTTAATTTAATTAATCAATTAACTGAGTTATACTTTGAAATAATTCGTTATTGTTAAATTTAAAGTAAAAAAAAAAAATAAATTATTAATATAGTTAATTTGTCAATGTTTGGCCTTAATAGTTAAGTAATACCGCGTAGGTCCCCGTATTCTGATTTATATTAGTAAATTGTCATTGTATAAAAATATTTTTTTATTTTTTTTTCTGTGTCCGAAATATTAATGGTACCGGGAAAATACTAGAGAATTTCCTTTTTTTTTTAAAAAAAACAGCAATTGGTATAAAACAATTTTTTTTGATGATCGTACGGGCGAGAAAAACCAGATTAGTCAAAAGTAATGAGTGACAGCCAATATCCTTATCTGACAGGAAAAAAAAAACAGATAAATTAACTGATAATCAGACAAGTGACTGGTTAATACAAGGCTATAGACGTGGTTATTTATATAGTATGATAGTATTGTGTTTTTTTTCTGTATTTCAAAGTATTACCAAATTTTATTTAAGTAATCCGAACTTATTGCAATGCGATAAAATTGTCGTTTTAATATTAAAAA